AGAGCGCAGCCGAAGTTATTAATTTTGATACAAAACATTCCGTAAAGTAATTACTATCTTCTTTAACAGGATTGAGTGCATAAATGCGAATTAATCCAGCCCCCCTCCCACCCCTTACCCCCCCCCCCATAGTCCCCATTAATATATTCGCAATAAGGTAATGTTGATATCTCACATTAGCATGATGATTGATCCCCCAGATATGGTGGCGAAACGCCTGCCTGAGAGAAGCCAACCCGAAGGCGCACAAATGTTTTATGCGCACAAGCCTAATTCAGACCGCTAGAGGGCTGAGGCTCATAAAGGTGAGCAATCGTTGCCAGGTGGTGGCATGCTGTAGTGGGGAGGCTAACCAACTCTTGCATAAATCCAACTTGCACCTGTTTAAACCTCATTTCATACATGAATGTTATAGTACTTTTTTATTCAAATGTTTTTCCCCAAAAAATCCCGTTTTTATCAGTTTAATTTTTTTTTCGGCTAATTTTTTCTACACACTGACCTGAAATACAGAGGCTCCTGTTGGTGAATAACTCGACAAACCAATTTGTCGGCTGTTTGGGTGTGTAAATCAGGCCGCACAGCTCTCACCACCTTCAAGCTATATGTTCACCACACGTGCTTCCTTCTTAGCATTCAAAAAAAACCGTATTTATTTGAAATTTGATAGATAAAATAAAGTGGCGCTAAAGTTTCACTCCTAGCCTCTTTCTTTCTCCCACTTAAAACTTGCTAACATTCAAGCCAAAGTAATTACAAGGAAAGTACTTTTAAAGTTCTCCAAGATTTACCTTTAAAAAAACAACCAACGAGGATTTATTTGTCATGCGACTACGCACTGACGGTGAGGCGAGTCATGAGGCCATTGATGGTGAGGCACAAAAACGACGGAAAATTCGTGTCTTCGTTCTACCCCCACGCATCCGCATGAGGTGGTGACTAATGGGGGTGATTCATCCTCACCTTGGGGTGATTGGTGCGACACCCATCAAGCTGGTGCTCTTACACGTCTGCTCAACCCCTCCGGACCGCATTGAAGGCAGTACTGGCGAGTGTCAGTGCCTTCAGTTGGCCAAATTTCAAGCAACCAGACCTGGCAGCTTAAAAAATTGTCATTTTTTAAAAGGTGATTTGAGAATGCAAGGAAGGTGGAGGTGAATTAAATCATTTGGTGTGTCGTTAGAAGTTAAGTGCAGGCAGGGGAAATGATTAAGCAAAGTGGCATCCGTTCCGCCCTGTTCAGCGACTTTCAGCTGCGGAGCACATCCTCCCACTTTTCTGCCTCCCAAGTGACTTGATCGTGGATGATGGTGCAATTGGGTGTAGGCGAAAGTCTTCCTAACCGACGGCTGGCTAAACGACCAGATAATAATAGAATGGGTTGCAAGCATCATGTGTTCCGCTGTCTTTGCACGACATCCCAGCTGTACACCCACATGACTATTTTTAGATCCCTTTTCAAAAATCACAAGCTTTGTTTGTGTCGATTATAGCATCATGCGGTTTGACCCGTTTCCTCCTTGAGGTCACTGCATGCCTATCGGCTGATTATGGGGTTCACATACTACCAAACCCGGTTTTGTCACTCTGTCTTTCCCCCCTCGCTTCCCTCCCGCTCTCCCCTTAAAAAGGAATTTCCCTCTGTATACATTGCTATGACGCTTGATTTCACTCTCATATTCCAAAAAGTAAAAAATCACAACTTTAAAATATTAAAAAGTTTAATTTAACCTTGCCACGAATGAGTAATGATGCGCCAGCAATGATCATCAAACGAGTGAATCCATTTGAGGCGCGGTAAAATAGTTGTCAGCTTAGCGTTTAATCTCATTACTAGTCACAATTGTCAAAAGTAATCCAAACAGAGAGTTGTTTTGTATTCTAAAAGGAGGTCAATGGAGTTGGAACTTCAAAATAAGTAAAGGCAAACTGTTGCATCAAATTGATTCTCCCCTCTCAATTGGCTTGTCACTGTCGAACCTGGTTGTGCATTTCTTTGAGAATAACCAACTCTACCCCATCTCTCCAACCCCCCCCTCCTTGACAAAATGTCAAAGAATAAATCGTGCTCTTCCTAGCTGTTAACCTCTTTTGTCCCTCGCTTTGACCTCTGCCCACACTTTGATTGGTTGCAGTTGATCTCTGTGACCCATAGTTCCTACAGTTCTTCTGTGAGGAAATGAGAGAATAACGAAGGCGGTGACCTATCAAGTGTGCCAAATTAAATGTTTTTTTTTGTCATCCTACGTGTGGTGAATAGAGCATAGAGCTTGTCAAATGAAAGAATTAAAGTTTTCAAGTGAGCATAAGTGGAGCTCCAGAACATTGAATAGGTGGACCACATCATTTTACCGTATCTAGGGGTAAAAAAGAAGAATAAAGACTTGTTTCTGCATTTAATTTGCAAGTATTTGACATTTCAATTAAGATGCTTGAATAGCATCCTTTCTTTGACATGAGAAAAAGCAATTGGAGGTTTTA